GAACTTTTCTTATCCAACCACGGAGTCTAAACCAGCCACCCCCTCCACCTTTTTCCATGGGTGTGCCAATTCAGGGCCACGCAGAGGGCCACGCAACTATCGAGAGGCCGAGATGCACTGAAGATGTACTGTATACATGGTGAAGAACAGAAGAAGGTTATATATAGTTATAGAAAAGCCAAAATGACATCATTAAACAGACCCGCGGAGAAAGTGTTGACGGAGGCGGAAAAAAAAATGATAATAATAAACAACAATTTAATAGGTGACGGGAAATATGCAAGGAGCAATGTCTAGAGGAAAAACAATTAGAAAGACGGAAAAACAAAAGAAGGAAAGTAGAACAGAAGAAAAACAAAGAAACGGAATGAGAATAAGCAATAGCAATAACAACATACACGTTTGAATCTCGGGGCAAAGGGGGATTGGTGCGAGCTTCGGAGTAGAAAAAGAAAAAAAAAAAAAAAAAAAAAAAAAAAAAAAAAAGGTAGCGCGTGAGGACAAAGCGAACAAATTATTATTAAATAATGGATACCGAAGCAGCGCCGCCCTCACCCAGCATACACACGAAACCCAAGGCGCGAAGAAAGCGGAAAGCCAGCAAGGGGGAAAAAATAAAAATAAAAAAAACATTGCGAAAGCAAAATGCCCCAATTCTAAGAAGAAAAGGAAGGCCGGAGAGAGATTTAATTGTTCTCTCTACGTGAGGGTATATCCGCCGTCAACTCTGAGGTCGGCTCCAGTGACATACTTGCTCGCATCGCTGAGGAGGAACGTCACGGCGCCCATGAGGTCTTCGGGGACGCCCATCTTTCCCTGTGGGATGAGGGAAGTCCATTGGCGGTTGAGTTCGGGGTTATCGTCTAAGATTTTGCGGGTTCTATGAAGTTTTTTCAAGTCAGTTGGCTAACCCCCTTTGCTTGCCTGTTTTAGGAGGAGAACATTGGGATAAAAGTAAAACCATGAACGACAGAACGACAGAACGACGAGGAGCTTACAGCGCAGTCAACATGTATCCGGGACTAATGCAATTAACACGGATATGCGCCGGCGCCCACTCAACCGCCAGGGACGCGGCGAGGTGCCTGATTGCGGCCTTCGCCGCATTATACGGCGCCTGCGGCTGGGGCACGTTGACGATGGCCCCGGACATGCTGCCGATCATGACAATGGAGCCGGGCGCCTTGCGCTCGAGCAGGTGCTTGGCGACGCCCACGGCGAACAGGTACGAGCCGTCCACGTTGACTCCCCAGAGCTTCTGCATGCGGTCGTAGGGGTAGGAGATGGCATCGAAGTTCTCGGTGAAGCCGGCGGAGGTGACGAGGTTGTCGATGCGGCCGTGGGCGCCGAGGACACTGGTGATGCACTCGTTGACGGAGTCGGGGTTTGCAACGTCGGCGTAATGGGCGGTTACCTTGGGCATGCTGGAGCGAGGGAAGTTGTGATGGTTAGAATTTGGAGAGTATCAATTTTCAATTTGCTTTCTTTATTCTGTATTTGTCCCAAGGTGACTCGGTGTAGGTAAATTCTGGTGGGGGAAAGGGGCGTACATTTCAATGCCCGGGTTTTCTTCCCTATACTGAGCCACCAACTTCTGCACCTGCTCCTCAGCCTCCTCCTCTAGATTTCCAGTCAGTACCTGAGGTATCTGATAAGAGCTATAGAAACCAGAGCTGCAGTCACATGTAATCACATGACCGACAAGATAGCATTGCACAAAACGGGATATAAAAATCTCTCCAACTGCTACCCGCAATCACGAAACGGGAGGGTCCTGATATTTGCTTACTGTTCAAGTCCACAATGGCAAGATCAGAGCCCGACGACACGAGCGCCTGGCCCATAACCAGCCCTAATCCACGGGCGCCCCCGGTAACAACCGAAACACGACCCTCCAGCGAAAAGGACGCCAGCGTCCGCTTGAAGTGCATCCCGCCGCGGCCCTGGACGATGGGGCTGCGGGGCATCTCATGATCTTCGGGGTATTCGACGCGGACGCTTTCATCCGTTCGGGCATAGCGACCCTCATGCTCTGCGGTATCCTCTGCGGAAGCAGCCGTGCTGGACTTCTTGAACGGGTCGTCGTCCTTGTCGTCTCTCTTGTTGGCATTTAGGTTAGGGGTTGTGAAGATGCTGCGGGTCGTGGTGTTGATGATGAGAGCCGGTCTAGATGTGGAACGGACAGCTGCTGCACCCTTGCAGCCATGGCTGGCAACCCGGAGTATCTGGCTGGCAATTGATGGCTTGAACATAGTAGTAGCCTTTTACAGTGCTTGCTTCGGGGGTGTTCTATATTAAATAGCAATCAGTAATGGAATGGAGAGTAATGGGGAAGCTTTATATGAAGGAATAGTTGAATAGCGTTCGGGAGTCGGGGCATATTTTTTGATATGTAATTCTACCGTTTGCCATTGATATCAAGAATTGCTGGATAAGGTTAAAGACTCACCAGGACAATTCTGCAGTGTCTAGGATAGCGTCTCAGGAAACCGTATCAGTGGGAGACCTGAAAGTAGAGCGGATAAAAAAGCAGTGCAAAGGGCTGGAGAAGCCGGGCAGATAATTTTCCCACAAACAAGCCGTCCAGATGGCGAAAAGCGAATGAGCAATTTATATTTATTTTTTTAAAAAAAATACGGGAAACGAGCGTTGTCCGATCTTAAAAGAAAAACGACGAAATTTTATCTGATATCAAGATGGATGTGAACGATTCTCGCAGCGGCCAACATTGCTTGAAGGTGGGAAGAAGGGGGAGTGGAGAGAGGAGAGAGGAGAGAGGAGAGGAAAATTCAGAATTGGTTGAGCCAGCCCAGGTTATTTTATTTTTATTTTTATTTTTATTTTTCCCGAGTAAGAGAGCCCGATCGCTGGGTCAGATGACGGCTCAGTCGAACTATCGTGACTTTTCGAACACAGCGTCGCAGGAGGGGAGAAGAGCAGGCACAGGCGAACAGGCCGCGCAGCCGGGGCCGGAGCAGCCGGCCAGGCGGGCCCAGGCTCTGGCAAGGCGGTGAGCAGCCCACAGGCGAGAGCACGCGGCGAGCTTGGGTGGGGAACTGCGGCAGTCGGGGGCACCGGGACCAGGCTTGGGGGCAACGCTAGGGGGCATTCTAGAGGTGCTCGGGTGGGTTCCCAGGGGGGGTTTGGGCCCTACAGACGCTAAGAATAGTTCATCCAAGGAGATCGGCTGGAGGAGTCAGATGAACAACAGACTTTTCTACGAAACTTGTGAACGGTTTGTTTTGTCCCAATAAATATTCGACAACATCTGCCAATTATTATTGACCACCAAGTTAACCCCTCCACTGACTCGAGTGGCAATCAGCCTGGTGTTGGCTATCTGGAATCTCAACCTCCTTTCATAAAACAGCCATGGAGAAATGCCCAGCAGTCGGTGTCCATCTAAACGTAAGATGCAACCTTGGTGTAAAAATATGTAAATTCCCATAATTTCGACATTTTCTCTTCTCGTTAGTGCGGCAAAATTGATCAATGACAAGTCTTTGGTACAACTCGCAGTTCATTCTCACCCTTTCCCCCCCTTTTTTTAAATCTGAGGAAGAGCTGTCGCTGGTCTACTGGCTGTTCTACACCGATGCCATGTGCCGATTCGATTCAATTATCATGACAGCAGGGTATATACCGAGATACAAATTGATCCGTAGCTACCCAAAAAGAGAATGAATGTGCCCAGAATTCAAGCAAGTCACGACCGTGTCGTCAAGTTAAATCTATCGGGGTCGTATAAAAATCTTTCTCTTTCTCTTCTCTATATGTAGTATACATTCACATGAAAAGAATAAATAAATAAACGAAAACAACAGGACATGTTCGTATATTATACGCAAACAAAGGAGTCTTAGGGGCGCAGGAAGGGTGGAATGGCAAGATGGTAGAATCTCAATTTCCTTCTACTTGCAATTTAAAAAGATGACGGCCGGTGAATAAAGAGCTTGGCCCATACAGAAAGCACGGCACGAAGATGGATCACCGAGTCACCGTATGTCGAATAGGTAGTTAAGTTATGAAGTCTTCGCCTCTGCGTCAGAAGCCTCTGCAAACTCAACGAGTGCGGTTCCGGCTTTGCATATATCCTAAAAATGTCCCGCGATGAGTTAGTTAAGAGGTAATTTTGTTTTCCAAGTCCAGGAAAGAAAATGCAAGAAAAGAAAGAGAGAAAGAGAGAAAGAGAAAAGGGTGTAAAAACTTACCCCGGCCTTATGCACCACCTTCTCAATTTTCCCATCCTGTGGACTCCGAATCACAGTTTCCATCTTCATACTCTCAATAACCACGAGTGGTTGGTCCTTCACCACAGTCGCCCCCTCCACAACCTCGACTCTCAAGATCTTACATGGCATCGGCGCGAGCACGCTGTTTGCGGTATCTTTAATCCCCAGCGCCTTCTCCATCCATCTAGCCCGCGGGATCTTCAACCGATACTGTCTCCCACGCTGGAACGCTGTGATGGCATCCTCGTCGCGAATCACTGTCGTGTCAAGTCTCGTGTGTGGGAAAAACGAAGTGACGACGTTGGACTCATGCGGTTGCTGTTGGACCTTGACGTTCTCGAAACTAGTGCCGTTCACGACGATGTTGAATGTTGCTTCGCCGGTTTGTTGCACTTGGACGTTGAAGGATGCTGCATTGCCAGATAATTCTGATGAGGCTTGCGCAGTAGCTTCTACAAACGTAAATTGTCGCTCTTGATATGCCGGGCTGAATCCAACCACTGCGCCTGCTGGGCCGCCCGCTTTGGAGGAACTGAGTAGGCAGTATAGTGCAACCTGAGCCAGAACTTCATCCTCTACAGGCTGTTTTGCAAATAGTTCAGCCCTGTGTTTATCGATGTAGCCCGTCTCAACATCCCCAGAGACGAAGTCTGGGCTCTTGCACACCCGTTTCAGGAATTCGATATTGGTGATTGGTCCCGCCACTTCATACTGTTCCAGCGCCATGGAGAGATTCCGTAGAGCTTCCGTCCGATCAGATCCCCTGACAATCAGCTTCGAGATCATAGGATCGTAATGCGAAGATACTTCATCGCCGGCAACAAAACCAGCGTCAATCCGCACGTCTTCTGTCGCTGCAGGAGTGCGAACGTGCAGGAGGCGGCCAGAGTCTGGGATGAATCCTTGATCAGGGTTTTCGGCATATATACGCGCCTCGATAGCGTGACCCTTGGTCGCCATAATAGACTCGATTTCATCCTGCGTCAGGGGCAGCGGGGCTCCCTCAGCAACCAGAATCTGCCAATGGACCAGATCTTGTCCCGTAACCATCTCCGTAACCGGATGCTCGACCTGTAACCGGGTATTCATCTCCATGAAAAAGAATTCCCCCGTGTCATTATCAAAGATGAATTCCACCGTTCCCGCTCCCTCGTAGCCTACAGCTAACGCCGCCGCCCGTGCTTTATCCCAAATATCCTTCCGTGTTGCCTCAGGCAAATGTGGGGCGGGGGATTCCTCAAGGATCTTCTGATGACGTCTCTGGATACTACAATCTCTCTCACCCAGCGCAACACAGTTCCCATGCTTATCCGCAAACACCTGTACTTCGATATGTCGTGGAGTCGTGATATATTTCTCAACCAGCATCGTGTCATCGCCGAAGGAGTTCATCGCCTCCGATTTTGCAGAAATAAGCTGATCCCGGAAGGTCTCTTTGGAGCTGGCGATTCGCATTCCCTTACCACCGCCACCCTTCACAGCTTTGATGAGGACTGGGAACTTGATCTTCTCTGCCTCTGCTTCAAGGAACTCCATGCTTTGGTTATCTCCATGGTAGCCAGGCACACAGGGGACGCCTGCTGCCGTCATAATTTCCTTTGATCGGCTACACATATCCAAGTGAGCATTTGCCCTTTGGACGAAAATACACATATGCATCTACCACATACCTCTTATCACCCATAGCCTCGATAGCCTTAGGCGGAGGGCCAATAAAAACCAAGCCTGCCTGCGTGCATTTCTGCGCAAATGCAGAGTTCTCACTCAACTATAAAAAATTGCGTAACATCATCGTCAGCCCACCGATCCCAATAAACTCATTGTTTGAAATCCAGCCCATTCCCCCCAAAAAAGAAGAAGAAAGCAAAAAGTAAATAATTAAATAATTACTCACAAAACCGTAACCGGGATGTATGCCCTGGCAACCCTCCTTCTGCGCGATCTCAATGATCCGATCTCCATCCAGATACGCGGATGTTTCGCCCAGATTGAACGCGAACGGGGAACTTAGCGCGTGTTGAGCCCGTGCGTCGGGGTCGGTATAGAGGGTCGTTACTCGAATGCCATGCTGTGAAGCTGTTCGTCCTACTCGTCTGGAAAAAACAAGTTCCAAAACAAGATATTGTCAGACTCGTTTCTAGACTCCCAGAGTGGAATTAAAAGAGACAGGCTCACAGTGCGATCTCGCCGCGATTGGCGATGAGGATGGAGTTGAGCGGTTTGTTTTCGGGACCGCCTGTGAGAGAGGAATTGGCACGAACTGCCGCCGCTGTTGTTGGCTTGAGAATAACTGCCCTTGCCCCGAGGCGGGAGGTGGTGGAGGGCAGTCGAGAGATGAAAGACATTCGGGTTGATGTCCTCAACGTGCAAACACGTAAGAGTTCTGTCAATGAATGCTGAAAGACAGGTAGCTGGGCAGCCTAGGGATATCGAGTAAAGTTGAAATTAAAGCATAAGACAAATAGCTATGAGGTCGTGATCAAATCCATAACAACAGATATATCAAGGGTAGTTTACTCAGTACGGCATCGCAGACAAGGAAGGCTAGCAAAAAGGTCCTAGGCCAGTAGCTTTTGCCGATGGAAAGCGCAGAATGGCGGGGAATGGCGTGCGGAAGGATAGCCGAGCCTGAGAGCGCTAAGCCCCGTGACTTCGGCAAATGGCGATCCCGGCGCGTTGGAAGCCGGGCCAAGTCATCCTTGTTTGATTGGGCTGATACAATGTCTGCTCTGGTTACCCTCGATGGAAAAAAGCTATGATGTCTAAACAACGGAGTATAGGATTCTTAGGTCTTAATTGCTAGTTGTAGATGGTGTTCTTTCTTTGACTAAACGCACAATCAAACAAATGGTCAATTGCCCAAACGGGCTAAAATCGTGAAGCGGGGCCAAGATAGGGCATTGATCAAACTATTCACTATTATTCGCCATAGAGGTCAAAAATGAAAATGAAAAAATGAAAATGAAAAAGAGAAGATAAAAATTATCTATCACCTTGCTTCAAAACCTCTACAACTAACTACTTCTTCCTCTGCCGCAAAGACCTGGACTTGCTAGGAGGTGGTTCCCGGTTATTCATTGTCTTTCTCTTGCCGCGAGCGTCAATGTTATCATCGCCAGCGTCACTGTCCAGCTTCTGTCTCGTGGCTCGTTTCGATCTCGTCTTCCCACAGTAATCTCCATCGGTGCTCTCTGGGGGGCTAGACGCTTTTCGTTTCAAACCTTGACGACGCTGAGTCGGGGGTGAGCTGCCCGTTCCGGTTGGGGGTATAATATGGGAACCGCTAGCTTTGCCATAGCCATCTTGGAACAGAGTACCGGGTTCCCCCGAACCCTTCCCATTTTGCGAGGTCGAGGTTGCGGATTGCGTTGACATTGACGTTGCTGCTGTGGAAGAAGTGGAAAGACGACCAGAGCGTTGCTTGGAGTTTTCCGTTGACGATGACGGCGAGGATGCCATGATTGGGATGGATTCTAAGTCCTCCTCCTGTGCTGAGGCTGAGATGACGGATTTGAGATGTGATCCATCGCGCTTATTGTGATCCTTGCCATTGTTCTTTGGTCTGTGAGATGGTCCAGTGGTTGTCTTCTGCGATTTTCCATAAATGCCTTGCTGGGATGCGGATAGAAAGGTTGGAGGTGGGGTACGATATCCTCCATCGTCTTCGCCATCATCATCACCATCAGCTATACCTCCCTCTCTTCCTTCCTCACTAAACCCCTCATTATCAAATACGGGCGTATCAACACTTTCGACAACCACGTTCCGCTTTCCTGTCTTCCTTGGGCGTCCTGGCTGTTTCCGGCCAGTCACGGACTTCAAGAACGACGACGGTGGTGGGAGATGCGAAGGGGAAGCAGATGAAGGAGAAGGAGAAGGAGAAGAATATTTCTGAAGCTTATGGTCCCTTTTCGGTTGTGAATCCTTGAATATCTCCCGCCAATTCTTCAGCAACGCTACTTTCTCCCCATTGCCCGGCTCATATAGCTCACCCTGATCATCCAGGAAGCTTGAGGGCCGCCAAAGTATGCGGCAGAAGGAATTGGTATTGGTATCTTTCTTGTTATCACTGTCGTCGCGCTCTTGTTCGCCTTGCTTCATTGTATTCCCCTTCCTCATCACATTTTTCTTTCTCACCGATGGGCCTTTGGAGGGTGTCTGTGGCTTAATGTCATGCTTGTGCAGAATGGACAGGTCATCATCGAAGTACTCGTCCGTGCAATAGTCCCAGTCGGATGCGCTGTCAAGTGCATCATAAGCTCCCTGGTCCATGTAAACAGGCGAATGGATTGTGCCTGCTGCTAGGTCGTCCTAAAAAAGGCAGAATGACACACAATTCCCTCTTCCCCGCGAGCAAAGGAGTGAGGGAATCGACCGGATATTTTCTTTAGTTCGATAAACGAAGACACAAATGGTTTGTGAGAGAGGAAGGATTGAAGAGGGCTTTGGGATGGGTGGGAAAATTGAGACTGACCGCAAGCTCTCTCTCCCCTTCATCGAACCAGAACCATTCAGCATCGAAGTCATCATCGTAGTACTCCTCGTCATCAGACATAGTAGGTGTAATGGGACGCAGTTTTTTACCCTTCCAACTGTTCTTTGCTTCTTGTCTAAGTATTTGCAGTGTATGTATATATGGTGTCCTGTGTGAGTGGTCGGGGAGGAGCGGGGATGGTGGAGAGATGCAAGAATAGCTAAGCTCAGAACTTGGCGATTCATGTACTGTACAAGCACATATCTAGAGAGGTCGGGTGTCTTGCAGGAAACAGTTGAAGGAAATTATCGAAGGGGAAATACTAATCACTTCTATATAGACAAGCAATTGTGAGAGAGGTTACAGAAGAAAGCGGCAGCAGGCAGTTGCTAGCATACGTAGTACGGAGCCGGGAAAAATTCTGTTTGAGGTTTCGTGACATCAGAGTTCCATAAAGGGCACGAGGTAACTAGCTTACTGCGTAGGCGGCAATAATCTGTAGATTTAACAGTATTTAGAGGGATTGTAATCCATTTTTAGTTGCTGGATCTTGAATTTATTGTCAGATCCAGTTAAACTCAAGGTTAAGGCCAGAAAATCATCAACTACGTATGTTGGTACCGTATCGAAGACGAAAAAAAAAAATTTAAAAATTAAAAAATTAAATAAATAAAAAAAAAAGCTGCCCCACGGTATGTGTATTTATTTATATGGCAAAACAAATTACATAAAATAAAATTAATGAATGAAATTAGTCCCCTTCCATCTAGATTTAAAATCTACGAATATTCTTTGTTGAACACTCTCCCAATCAACATCCTTCGAATCTCACTGGTCCCCGCCCCAATCTCATACAACTTAGCGTCCCGCAGAAGCCGTCCTGCTGGAATCTCATTGATATATCCGTTGCCACCCATGAGCTGAATGGCATCAAGCGCACACTCCGTTGCACGCTCCGCAGCATATAGGATCGCACCAGCGCAGTCCTGAGTGCGAATGGCGCTGTTGCTTGCCTCGCTCGAGGAGGACGCAGCGGCTTCGTCAATTTGGCGGGCTGTAGCGTAGGTGTACGCGCGGGATGCGGAGAGTTTAGTGTACATGTCTGCGAGCTTACCTTGGATGAGTTGGTTGTGGGCGATTGGGGTGCCAAATTGTTTGCGGGTATGGGTGTAAGGTAGCACGAGGTCAAGGGCTGCTTGCATTATCCTAGATAAAACAAAAGAGCGCGAGCGCGCGGGGTTGTTCAGTTAGCAAATGCTGCGTACATTATTTGTGGTGTTTCGGCTTTTAGTACAGCTTCCCGCTGGCTCAGCCTTATGTAGAAATTGAATGAGGTGAAATCCCTTACCCTAGTGGTCCTGCGCTAAGGACAAGACGCTCCAGGTCAAGCCCTTCCATGAGCACCTTCACACCGCGATTGAGCGCTCCCAACATATTCTCCTGTGGCACGAATACATCTTCAAATATCAATTCGCCAGTATTTGAACCTCTCATGCCGAGCTTATCCAGTTTCCGAGCGCAGGAAAATCCTTTGAATGTTTTCTCAACAACGAAGGCAGTGATGCCTTTGGAGCCCTGGTCGGGCTTCGTTTTTGCGTACACGACGATATAATCGGCATCGGGGCCCTAAAAGTTCGGGACCAAAAGGAGAAATTCAGATTTTTATTCACCGTTGCTGATGGCAACATGCAAGGGGGAGTAATGTTGTACTGACGTTGGTAATCCACATTTTTGTTCCATTAAGCAGATACCCTCCATCCACAGCTTTAGCAGTAGTCTTCATACTGACAACATCCGAACCTGCAGAGTGCTCTGACATCGCCAGCGCGCCAATCTTCTGTCCTGAGATCAGGCTTGGAAGAAATTTGGCTTTCTGTTCCGGGCTGCCGTTCAGAGAGAGCTGGTTAACACAAAGTTGGGAGTGGGCGGCATAAGAGAGACCAATGCTGCCTATTATCGAAAAGTAACCAGAGTGTCAGTATATATTCCATTATATATACGATTCTCAGTCGTGGGAAACGTATACGCACCTGAAGCTCTGCTGATTTCCTCTAAAACTACACAGTGTGCTTGGTAGCCCATTGACAAGCCACCATACTGCTCATCTGCGGTAACACCTAGAAATCTTTGGTTCAAAAGAAAGGGAATGTCAGTAAAAGCGTACACCTACTTAATTATTCCAATGTTAGCGACTTACCCGGCTTCTCCAAGCTTCTGCCACATCTCGGCGGGGAAGTTATTCTGGAGATCTGTCCGGGCAGCGACCTCTTCTGGAATCTCTCTTCCTGTGTAGCGCACTTAAATTAGCCCTCTATCCCAATGGCCTAAAATTTCGACGTCACAAGGTATTCGTACTTGTAAATTCTTGAACCCGCTCTCTCAATTCCACCAGGTCATCATGTGTCGGTGGCACGAAACCTTTTGGATGTTTTGTTGACGCTGCCCGCCATTGGAGAAGCTGGCCCAGTTGTCTCCGTGGCCGGCAAAGAGTTCTGGAAGCGCGACCAAGGATGCGAGGAAGACATGGAGACGCCATATCAAAAGATTATCGTGCGAAACTAACACAAGGATGAGTATTTTCGAGAGGAGCAAGAAAGACAAGAGAGGTTGCCGTTGTGCCCCAGCCTTGGTCGAGCTCTCAGGGCAGAATTACCCTTTCTGGTCTGCCGAAACAGAGGACGCGGTTGCCGTCGGCTATCTCCAACACCGGGTCACGGGACACGAGCTTGTTCCGTCAAGTTCTCCGCAACAACATCCGAAGCACTGAACTCAGGTGCGAAGTTTTTCTCATATCGTGTTGATTTTAACTCCTGTCGGGTTGGCCATGATATGGCAGTGTAGAGATTTATTCAATCATCGATCCGTCGCTGCTGATACTTGACATCTTGTCATGGCTGCGTCAATCCGTGCTCCCTCCTCAATGCTTCTCCGCAGCCTTCGCACCGCGTTGGCATCCAGCCGCCAATTGCGAGTAGCAGGGCCTCGTGGTGCAATCGCTTCCCGTCAGACTACAAGATCAATTGCCAATTACACGCACACACATCAGGCATCAGCTATATCCGTCCTGCCAACATCTGTGGACACCTCTTCGGCCGACTTCAAGGAAAATGCAGCTCAAATGGATGAGCTTTTGGCCAAAATGGCTGACCTCCATTCCACAATTGCCAAGGGAGGGCCTCCAAAAGCAAAGGAAAAGCATATCGCTCGTGGAAAGCTGCTTCCCCGGGACCGCGTCACATCCTTGATTGACCCGGGGACCTCATTCCTCGAGCTCTCTCCACTTGCGGGCCACCAGGTTTACCCTGGCGAAGATGTGCCTTCCGGCGGTATTATCACCGGGATTGGAACGGTCGAGGGAGTCTCCTGTATGATTGTAACAAACGATAGCACTGTCAAGGGAGGCACCTACTACCCGATCACGGTCAAGAAGCACTTGCGCGCACAGGCAATTGCCCAGGAGAACAAGCTACCTTGTATCTACCTGGTTGACTCCGGCGGAGCCAACCTTCCCCATCAAGCAGACGTGTTTCCAGACAGAGACCATTTCGGACGGATCTTCTTCAACCAGGCCAGAATGAGCTCCATGGGTATCCCGCAGATTTCGGTAGTCATGGGACCATGCACGGCAGGCGGAGCGTATGTTCCCGCCATGAGCGATGAATCCATAATTGTTGAGAACCAGGGGACCATCTTCCTTGCTGGCCCACCACTGGTTAAAGCCGCAACTGGAGAAGTTGTATCTGCAGAAGACCTTGGCGGAGGCCGCTTACACAGTTCCATCTCTGGCGTCACCGATTACCTCGCCGTTGATGACGCCCACGCTCTCGTCCTTGCCCGCAGGTCGATCTCCAATCTCAACTGGCCGAAAACCGCCCTTCCATCGAACACAGCATCACAACCAAACGCTTTCTCGACAATAAAAGAACCCCTCTACGACCCAGCAGAGCTCTCCGGCATCGTCGGCACCAATCTTCGCCGCCAAATCCCGGCCCATGAGGTCATTGCCCGCATCGTCGACGGCAGCGAATTTGCCGAATTTAAACGCGACTACGGCACCACGCTCGTCACGGGCTTTGCGCGCATCTACGGCACGCAGGTCGGCATCGTTGCGAATAATGGCATCCTGTTCTCCGAGTCGTCACTCAAGGGTGCTCATTTCATCGAACTCTGCGCTCAGCGCAGTATCCCTCTGATATTCTTGCAGAACATCTCTGGCTTCATGGTAGGCGCGGATGCGGAAAAGGGCGGTATTGCGAAGAATGGAGCTAAGCTCGTCACGGCCGTGGCATGTGCTGATGTTCCTAAATTCACTGTTGTGTTTGGCTCCAGCGCTGGCGCGGGTAATTATGGAATGTGGTATGTTCTCTCCCCCCCTTTCCCCCCAACATTTTTTTATTGCTTTGCTTTATATTCCATTCCCGCTCGTTTAATCAAACCCCTCAACGCAAATCCCAAATGAGATCCTGCAAGCTAACAAAATCAAACTGCAACCAGCGGCCGCGCCTACTCTCCCCGTTTCCTCTTCATGTGGCCCAACGCCAAGATCGGCGTGATGGGTTCGGAACAGCTTTCCTCGGTCATGGAGGCCGTGGGCCGCACGGCCGATCCGAAGCTGAAGGAGCGCATTGATACGGAGTCGGAGTCGATATTTTCTTCCGCACGGTTATGGGACGATGGCGTGATTCCGCCAGCACATACGAGAAAGGTGCTGGGTTTGAGTCTTGCGGCTGCGTTAGGAGGCCGGGCGGAGGAGGTCAAGACGAAGTTTGGAGTTTTCAGGATGTAAAATTTGCGTTAGATATGGGTGTTTTCCTATAGTTATATTGATATTGATTTTTTTTTTTTTTTTGCGCCTCCATGATTTTTGTTTACGATTCCCTTTGTCCCCCTCATTCTGCGTGTACATGTACGTATTGATGGATTTATAGCTATTGCGGGACTCCAGGGCTTACTGCTACTCTATCACTAGAAAACGTACTCTGTATATGAAATGCAGATAGACGGTGGCTAGAAGTCATGTATTAACTTTATTTTTTTATATATATATTTATTTTGTTCGCTAAAAGTTAAACCCATTGTTTCTGTGAGGTAGGTGGTTTATATACACACGGGCAACATCCTAAAACATAGTTGGAGGCTACAGGTTACACTGAATAAAAAAAAAAAAAGTCTATGGCGCACAAGGGCCAGCGTGTGCAGTTCTCAGAACATACATAGGTCAGGAAGGGTGGGATAACAACCTAAAGACTCCGGTACAGAAGATTGCGGGAGAGGGGAAAAAAAAAAAAAGGATAAAAGCTAAAATGGTAGCGCATACAAACAAGACTGCTTCAATTCATAAATGCATCTCTTAAATATCCCAAAAACATACACGGGAACACCGTCTCTAAATAAAACTTCCGCTCAATCGTAAACGAAAGGAGCGATGAGGGAGAAGAGCTTGTTCACAACATACCTGTGGTTTATTCGTATTTCCATCTTTTCCCCAGTTGTTTGCTTTTGGGTTACCACCCCTGGCAGTTCTATCTATCAATCTACATATATATAACCTTGCAAGCAACTACCGAAAATAGAAAATAATAATAATAATAATAAATAAAACCACATATATTCGAAATTGAGCGGCGCAAGTTATCGAGAACTTGAGGCCCTACAAGTGCTGAGATGTTGAGATGAATCTCTTTTAGTTATTGATAGCGGGCAACTGTTTCCCATAGTTAGACTTAATTAATTGAAAGTTAGGGGCACCACGTTAATAATGTCTTTTGCGTTGTAGCATCTATGGCAGGTACCACATGGATTGGATGTATCCATCCCCCCCATCAATTTCCACTTCGTTAATGCATATTCCTCCCTCCTAGTGGGCTTGCTCTCAGAAGCGTGAAAAAAGAAAGGGGGAAAAATAAAAAGGAAGAACTAGATAAAAGGTTAAAAGGTTTGGGAAGAATGGAAGAATGCAATTGATTTCTAAAATAAACAAGGGGGTTAATTTCTTGGATGAATTTTCGGATGGTATGTTGACAGCGTTAAATGAGAAAAGGGGAAAGTTAAGGCAAAAGAAGCAAGGGTTAGACACGAAACGAAAAAAAAAAAAGAAAAGAAAAGAAAAGAAAAAGGGAAAAAATGGACGACAATAGGATAAATCTCGGAATGGGCAACTCTAAGTATCAAGCAATATACAGGTAAGAGTTATTCTAAAACGGATAGTGAAAATAAACCATGAATAGAAATAGAAAAAGATTCTTATAATGAAGTGAAATGAAATGAAATGAAATCATGAAAAACGGATAAAGATGAGGAGAATAGTGGGAGCAAAAATCTCTGTGCGAAAATATGTCGGAGTGGGACGACTAAACAGAGAATAAAGGCAAAGGGTAGAAGAAACATCAGAAATAGATAAAAACAAGAACAAAAAAGCCCCGGGAAAAAGGAGGAAGTATAGAATAGAAAGGCCATATATCATGTATATAAAAAAGAAAGAGAAAACCAAATAAACACAGAAGAAGGTGGGGGAGGAAAAGCCGAACCGTAGGGCAGAAGGAAAGAAAGAATTCACAAGATCACACAATCCCCTTTCACTTTTGCTCTCCTCCGATTCCGTAAGCGGACTCCGCTCTGTCGACTGTGCCCTTCCGCCCCACGCCCAGTACCACCACCCCCAGCAGAACTACCACCAATGCCGCCACCCCCGACACCGACCCCACCACCACCAACCCTCCCATTCATCGCCAGCTCCATGCTCCGCTGCTGGCTTGCCTGTATGTCTTTCCGGATAATCTGTCTGCACAGGTCAATAAAGACTTCGTTGACGTTTGCGCGGCGGCGGGCGGAGGTTTCGTAGTAAGGAGAGTTTCCCCATTGTTGGGAGAGGGCGAAGGCGCGCGATCGCGAGACGGCACGGTCTTCTTCGAGATCTGACTTGTTACCGACGATGACAATGGGGACGTTGTCGTCGTCTTTTATCCGGATGATTTGTTCGCGGAGTTCTGCTAGTTCGGAGAGGGAAGACGCGGATGTTATTGAGAAGACGAGGAGGAAGCCTTGGCCTTGCTTCATGTAGAGTTCCCTGGAGGTTTTCAGAAGGGGAAGGGTTAGATGGGCGTTCATGGTCAGGTTTGTTATGTGCTTTTTAAATATTTTTTTACATATATTGATTGTCCGGGATTTCCCCTAGGCAAAGTGCATGTTGGAGGGAGGGATAGGGGTTGAAGTTTGAGATGTGAAGGCGAGTGTATGGTATTTTTTGGATTGTTCTCTCGAAAAACGGGAGCAATCATGGCTAGCACACTGAAGTACGTGCAATGCAAGAGTGCAGACAAGCTCATACCTCATAGCAGCTAGAAGTAAAGCGTTAGAATACAGCCCAATCAAACCAAGGTATACATAGAAAAGGGAGGAATCATCCACTAACTGAATTGTTCAGTCCCGGCAGTATCTAATCTGCACAGCAGTTAAATTAGCCGTTCGTTCTCAAGTCCTTAGAATATTCCTAGAATGTGGAAATTTATATTCAATCCGTTCGTCGCCAATTGCTACCCGATCACACCTCCTCGTGGACTCGCGTATGGGTGTAGGCGAAAAAGCCGGTTTTACGTACATCTCCAGAATACATTGTCGCCCCTAGATGGAGAAGAAAATGAGAAGAAGAAAAAAGATTAACAGAACTGGTCGCACGCAGAAGATATCAGAGATGTTGTGGTCGCGACACTCACATCCACTTCAATCAGCTTGCGATACGAGTCTTCAATAGTCGGGTCGTAACTTTCAATCCAGACATTTTGGACGAATTGGGCTGCGGGAACAAAATCAGGTTAGAATATGATAAAGCTGTGTGTTGATTCTTCGCTTCATTTCTGCTTTGTTTCTTTCTTTCCTATTCTTCTTTTTTCCTTCGAGTGGGCGGAAATGAAGCCCACACATTCAGGTGGATATTATGACGACAATTGAGCATGGGGTGAGGAAAGATAGATACCAGTTAAGCAACTCTTTCCAACTCCACCTGCGAAGAAAAAAAAAGAGTCCCAATTGTTAGCGGTTTGAATTTAATTTAATTTTTTTTTTTTTTTGTTTTTGGTTTTGTTTTCTTTGCACCAAGGTGACGCGACAGCGGGGTTTTTCATACCAGCTCCAAGAACCACGATGTGATACTCTCTTCTTGATTTATAAAAGAGCGCGTCAGCCACATTTCCAAGCTTAGATTGCGAAATTGGGCGGCTAATAAACCAGACCCGACAAGGAATAATTAAGGAAAAATAGCCTCCCTTACCGAGGCTGTAATCTCAGATTTGAGCTCATAGTGGTCGATCGGACAATTTTATTGCTAATAGCCGTTGCGGGAAGGGTTAACGATCAAGAAGAATGGGGGGAAAAAATTGCAAGACCCAGTTCGTGACGGCCAGGGCCAGCAGAAATACAAGCTGGAACAGTTGGAGGCGTGTACTTGGCGCTCGGTAGGGGATGGGGCAGGTGAGCCGGGGGATCTGTCCGGGTCTTCGACCTTATAACGATGCGGTTTCTTTTGGGACAGGAGGTAATATCGATTGACCACCGCGAAAAATCTATGCCCGAGTCAACCCGGCCAAATGTGCCCGCTTATTGGCAGTCCTATAACTGAACCCTTGTCCCGCCTTAGAGCAGGCGCTTGCGCAGTTAAGGCAAGAAGCAAAAAAAAAAAAAAAAAAGAAGAAGAAGAAGGGAAAGTATTCTTCGCGCTGATTTCGACCGATAGAGCTCTCCCAAATAACAAGACGATAGACCAGGGGAGATCAACCCAGGGTCAAAAGGGGAAAGCACCTTTTCCAGAGCAGTTTTCGTGAGATCCAAGGAAAACTTGAAAACCTAGGCAACTAGGCAAAGCGTGTAGGTATTTATCCGTTTCTTTCGGCAGTACAGTTGGATGCTGCCGTCCACGGAAGATAGCACATATACGGCGGGAAATAGGCGGCTAGGGTTGGTGGGCAGCGATTCAAAGATCTCGATCGGCGGAGTGGGACAGGACACAGGAGGCCTCGATCACGTTGCTTTCAAAACTGCAGAGGGACAAGGATTGGAGCCCAAACCTAGGGCGGGTGGGGTGAGGGCCGGTCGAGAAGTGGAGCGCGGTGGTGGATAGGGAGAAGTTGAGCTTTGCTATTGGTGACAGCGGCAGGCAATGTGTGTGAGCAGCCTTGGAAAGCAAGATGAAGCTGAGGACGGAGAATAAGCAGAGTGTGAATTTTTGGGTAGTGTCGACGGATGCATTTGGGGGGGAAGAGGGGTTGTTTGCGGTGTGTAGGAAGGGATAGAATGACGGGAACTCTAAAAGATATACAAATCTGAATCAGGACATGGGATATGGGTACGCGGAGAAGGCCACTGCCAGGTGCAATTGGAGCAATTGGAGCAATTGGGGGCCGAAGCGGTGGGACAGAGAGCAATTGGGGGCCAAAGCAGCGGTGGGACGGAGAGAGCAAGGATGCTGAGACGAAGGATGCAGCTACAAAGACGAGAGGAAACCCCCGTGAAGGGAATCAAGAGAAGACGAGAAGCAGCAGAAGCAGCAGAAGAAGCCGCAGAAGAGACACACCGCAGAAAAGAACGGGACCTGAAGATGATGGAGGTGTTTATTCAGTGTGTGTGTGGCTGAGAAGAGGATAGCACCGGGTTTAGTGAGCAACGATAACGAGGGCATTTTAGTGGTTAACCTAACGAGCTCTTGGGCAAACTCTTGGGCAAACGGAAGTTGGAGCAGAACACGACGCTTCGATGCCTTTGAAACAGCACATCAGACGGTGAGTTTCGAGCCCCAGAAAATACCCCAGAGGTACACGGGAAAGCAGAAAAGCATCAGCAATTCCAGCCACAGATGGCCAGAGTCTAGACTTTTCCTGGCTTCGAAATCCCCCAGAGCCCATGGTGAACGTGCGGTTTAACTTTGCACAAGGCAGATGGATTGATCAGGCGACATCTATTAGCCGAGCAGGTCTGTCTATATCTACCTCCTGTATTACTACGACGCTGCACACATTTCTGCTATCGATGCCTCAGAGGCCATTGGGCTGTGGGTCCTCTCGAGCGTTGCTGGGAATCATTATGCTGGAGAAAATGGCAAATGTGGGTTCAAAATCAAGTCCAAGTCACCGCTACCGCCTCCGTGATTATTTTGACCGCCAGGACAGTGGAAAAAACCATCACAACGAAGCTTATCCAAAATAGTTCCTCCGGATATCTGGATCACACTCTCGGCATTGTGCAATCCTAGGAAATAAAATCACTTTTGACACATTTCGAGTTTTCAATTTGACCGACAAACTACGTTGTCATTGCTGAAGATTTTTCTTCCTTTTTCATTTCTCTTAAGTATTCTTTGCTTCGAAATACCACGTCATATGGCTCACCTTTGCCGCATTGGACAGCATAGCCATGACACTTCCCTGCTTTCCGTTTTTCCGCTTTCAAAAAATGTGGCATGATATTTGTTCTGCCGTTGAACGATGACGACTCATATAGAAAGCAGAGGATTTGGGTTCGAGGGTGCGGAAGGACCTTGAGTATAGTCTCCTATCCTGGATCGTGGTGCTGGGGCCTGGGAAATGTCTATCTCATTTTTTGTCCCTATCTATGCAATGTTTCTGTATCACAAAGGGCCTTGAAAAATTTTTCGAGTGCCTATTCAAACATCCTAGCTTTCTTTTCTTTTCTTTTCCCTCCTGTTATTGGTCGTTATATATATATCACTGTGAAAAGAAAAGCATTGAGTTGGAGGTCCATTGGATCCGCCAAAAATTCCAAAAGTGCCAAATCCTTGAATCCATGTAACCTATAAAAGCAAACCAAATAAAAAATAAAATCAACACCTAACTTGTAGCTATTAAATCGGCGGACTTGACATGAAAAAATCATGTCATTGTGCAGACTCTCGGCCGGTGTCCCCTATACTTCTTCTTGACCATTAAAATTTCCCCAAAGTGATATTCTCTATCAATTCCACAGCTCCTGGGGTCATAGCCCATGCGGGGTAGATATACTTCAGCATCGACTGCACCTCTGATAGGGTACCAGGCGAATAGTAAGCTGGCAGCTCATGCAGATGCTTCTCCGGTGCTAGCAGAGCTTCCCAAAAGTACTTGTTTGAGCTGTGGAGGGCGTTGTAGAGTTTCCTGACCTGATCTTGCAGCAAGCCAATCGCCGCCGTATGATCCCCGCGCTTTAAAATGTCCGCATTCTTCGCAATTATGGAGCTGCGCAGGCGCGGGCCCTCAGCAGGTGTGGGCCGTGTGGCGGAGTCGACAGCTGAGCTTTGCAAGTCCATCAGATCCAAAAGCAGCCTGGTCTTAACCAGAAGCACGCCCGCTCCAAGGCACAGAGAAATAAAACGGTGGCACACGTAATCAGCGTCTTCAAAGACATCTGCGTCATGAACATCCAGGAATGGCCCCTCTATGTCGCCCCAGTCGTAATCGTCCTGCTGGCCTGTCGTCTCATACCATTTGACGAAATCGTAGCACTCCTGATCCCTGCCCAGTTGCAACAGAGCGCCCGGCACCGCGACGCGAATACCAACATTATCCCCACGGCAGAGACGCAGCATATCTCTCGCGTGCTCCAATTGCATCTGCACCGACTCCCGGCTCTCAACAGCCATTAACGCGTGGATAAGCGCGCTGCGCGCACGCATGTATGGGCGCGTCTCGATGATCCCCCAAAAGTGCCCGACACAGGTGTTAAAAGCGTCGCCCGCGAAAAGCACGTCTGCTGGCATATCGCGCAGCTTCTGCTCCTCGGCCGCGAGCGCATCGCGCGATTTGCGCACTTGGCTGCAGGATTTCTTGTGGGCGTTGAGGTGTTCAGCCTGGTGCTCACGGCTGCAGTAGTAGACGACTTGGCAACGGGAGCAGCGCAGGGTGTTCCCTTGCGTTTTGCAGAGCCCACATGTTTTTTCTGTCAGTGGGAGCAGCGCATGAGTGCTTGTCGTCTCCATTATGGTGCTTCACCGGAACTTTGCTGGGGTTCTCTGTGCAAATTAGCGGTTATCTAGAATTGATGAAGATACTCGGAAACATGAAACTCAACGTAACTACCTAGGCACAGTGTAGAGGGAGCACAGGGAAGACCCGTTAAAATCACCGTTTATCCCAGATGAAAACCCCCTTTCCGGCAAATTGCACACGTTAGTGGGGTGAAGCAACATGCCGTGTTTTTGCACCAGCACCAGACGTACCATTCAATGCGGTTGAAGATTGCTGGGTTAGGTTATTGAGAAACGTGCACCTCACGGCCAAGCTTAAACATCAATTTGCAAGCTGCCTGTTATAAAAATATTTATTTGGGAAGTTGAATGAATCCTGAGGTCAAGACTGTGGAAGCCAGCAAAAATGAGGGGGGTCGCATCGGGTTTACAAGGGCATTCATTGGTTAAGCCAAGTATAAGTCCTTGCGTGTGCTGGAAATTGAGATGGAAATCTCAATATTAGACTCATAATTGACTATGCAAAATGCTGACCATATAAATTCTAGTTACTACTTGCAAGGACTTTTCTTCAAGGGGCAAGGATCAATTCTTTCTCCCGTCTCCATTCGCCGACTATTTGTTAGGATTGTTCTGTGCTTCTTCAGTTGCTTATTTGCAAGTCTATATATGCTGACAGCGGGCCTCTAGAAGTTTGTTTATTTATTGATACTAGTATTTACTTATATTTCTTGATTATCTAGTTCGTTGATGAAAGCGAAAAGGTCGAGTCTACATTTTGATAATTTCTGATATACTCCGCTTAGACGGGAGACCAATTTCCACTCCCTTCTGGCTTCATCCCTCGCGCTGTTTACAAAAAAGCCTCATCTTTCAGGCGGTTGATCATTGCTGTTTCGCAGCTCTTAGGGTCGACATTCCGTTTTACCGGGAACAATCCCTTTGCCTCGAAATAGCTTCAGCACGTTTCCGGGTCTGGTGATACTCTCATCCTCGGCCACTGCAGGATGCACTCATTCCCTCTTGCAGCGGTTGGAGATTATGTCCTCCCGCCAGACAGTAGCCTACCCCACAAAGTTGCACTTGCAAATCCATCTCTAACACGGGAAGAAAATATTTCGATACTTCTAGACGCTGGTCATAAGCCAGGCTAACTTACGGGGGTGTTTGAGAAGTGCTCAATAAGGTTGGGGAATATGTTTTGAAGACTGTTGCTTCAAATAGTATTAATGGGAATGAGCGCAGTTTTAAAAACTTTGATCAATGCACCTTTCGCTCCATCCCTCATATGTTCTTGCCTGATGAGCTTGTCCGAGAAGGATGGGCCCTCTCATCGTGGCTGTGTGACAAAAAATTGTTGACACATTTAGCACAGAAGACGCTGGCACAGCAGCGGTGCCATCAACTGTGCTGATAGTTTTGCATGTCACTGTGTCGAAGAATTCCACCCTTTTCCGAGAACAGGGCATCTCCTGAGAGGCTAAGCGTGGAGAGCGTGATCATTCTTCCGAGTCATCCGTTTTGCAACACTTCTTCAGTTTGATACAACCAGAAAAGCCTCTAGGCCTCCTTTTCCCGCAGCGAAATATATTTCTTAGGGCATTGCTGAGCGGTTGATTGGTTTCAAAAAGCGCAACAACAAGGAGAAGATATCAGTTCCACGACATTGGTTACACGTTATATTTGTGAAAATGTTATTGTCAATTTTTGATTGGGGATGTATTGCCTGCAGAAGTCAAGAGAAAGAAAAATGCACTGACGCTTGAGTAACCGATTGGTACTTGATCAAACGAATGAAAGTTGGAGAAATTGGATATTATTGACTAGGAACGGTCGTTGTGGGTGATGTTCGGACAATAATACGACGGACTGACAAGGAGCAAATTAGGAATCAGAATGAAGATCAGATATTCGTGTTTCATTATATATATAGATATATTTTCATGAGAGAGAACAAGAGATCAATCCTTCAACTTGGTACAAATATCGAATACTGCGTAGAGAATATGGAGATGGACTATGTAACTGTGCTTCGCCTTCTATTCATTCGTTGAGCCTTCGAAGAGTTTGCGCTTGAACAACCAGGGCAATTCCTTTGGATACCGGCACGTCGCTTAGAAATAGTTTTCGAACTTCTATTAAGCAAATAGCCGAGTAGTCATGCCCGCATCCTCCGTTCCACCTTAAAGGGTTCCCAAGCCGTGCAGGAGTAACACCTCCTACATGCGGATAACCCACCGAAGCTCTGGGTGCGGAGAGAGGTATCCCATAGACGTTATTCAAGTCAAAAGGAACTACGGTCCGTAGTCTATGAGCAAGTATTTCAAACTTTTTTTCCTTCACTGTACCTGTACTCTGTTGAATGAGAAGACAATACTTGGGAAAACTCATCTTTGAGAGGAGCCTGAATGATGACGATGAGCAAATTTGCTTCTGGATTTCTTCCACCATAAACCTAGCGGAGCATTGATCACATTTCTGGCCCATGTGAGGGGCGAGACTGATTGCAAGCATCATATTTCGAATTGGAAATGGAGTTGCGCCTTACTAGTCAGTAGGATTAGGTTTGTATATGCATTATGTACATTATCCATCTGTATAGATCTGGGTATACTGGGGAAGAAACCTATTCTATCTTAAAATCAACGGAATGAACTGCCAATGAAAAATATCATGACAGTGAAACATGGGAAGTGTTGCGAGGTCCCATATTCTCAAAGTCCATTAGTTAATAGCTTCATCTCAACCTTTCATCTTCAGAATAAGAGGGTAGATCTGGCGATTGTGCATGCAAGTGATTCGCTGGTCTGGGAAATTTGGCTTCGTTCAGTACACACTGGGATAGAGCATTATCGACTGGAATTTTATTCTCGTTCTGGCCATGAGGAATGTTGCTATCATTTTCCTTCAAGAGATAATTTTGTTTTTTTTCTGACACGCCCGTGTGATGTAAGCCGTGTGATCTCAAGGCATCTAAGATGTGCGGGAACACCTGATCAGCAACGTCTCTTGCCCAAAGGAAATCAAGGTGCTCGTAATGGGAAATTGATGTCGCAAGGGTATGGTTCGGTAGTTCCCCAAGCATCACATCGATGTCCACTAGACTATCCCGGCCCCCGTAAACGAGGACAATTGGTGTTTTGATATTTTTTGTGGGGAATTTGGCGGGCTTGTAGTAGCGGCTGTTATTATTGATGTTCACCAAGGGTCCTGCATCATCATCATACATCTGGAAGCTCTTATTGCGGATGATCTGGAACCAATGTACAACGGACTTCGTGCTTGTGAAGGAGAAGAGATGTGGATATGCCGCAAGCTTTTGATCGCTATTGATGTTGACGCTACTCCAATTAAATAGGAATGAGAGAGATATGTCGATGATGCGGACGAAGATAGGTGGGTAAAGGATTGTTTGCCACATTGGTGTGGAGCTAAGGATGCTTCGACGGCCAAAAGCTAAGAAGAGGACATTAGGAGATGCTTTCATGAGAGCATCGACGACTCCATTGGAAAGTCCCGCTGGGGACATTGCCGGTGCCAGTGCTATGAATAAGTTGATTTTTTGGTTAAGTGTCGGGTGGATAGACAGCGTAGCGAATGCTTGTGCAGTGCCTTGAGAGAATCCTATATAGGATAATGATTTTTGAGAAGTGACTGATAATATGTATTCGATGCTGTCGGGGATATCGTGGAAGGCGAATTGGTCTATGGAGAAGTCCCAAAATGCTGTCGATGACGGGGAGTGAAAGATAGACTTCTTCGAATACTTGTTCCCTCTATTATTCCCCAGCCACACATCATATCCTTTCTCGACGAGCTGGAAAGGGAGGCAACGCTCTTCGTTTGTCAAACAGACCCACACTTCGCTATTCATGAGCAACCCATGGTGAAGATAAACCACTGGCTTCTGTCGGGCCCCTTCGCCAGCGTTCACTCCGAAGAAATCTTCGCCTTTCTTCCGCGGCAGCCTGTGCAGACAAAGAAGATAGCCATCGCCTGTCTGTACAACATGCTCTTCCGCTTCGTAGCCCCAGAGAGCGCACAATTGTAGAAAGTCTGAAGCGGATGCTATTTTCCCTGAGGTTGAAGTTTGCAGTGCCCGTATTCGGCGTCCTTGTGGTGAAGCTAGAGCCTTGAATAAGACTTTAGATTGCCGATAACAAAATTGTATGATTGGCTGAGCTGCGTAAAGAGGTCAGCCTGCTAATTAATCCAAGAGGGAGATAATGTCGATACTTACGAAGACAGAGTGTTACGACATGCAATAGCACTTCGACGGAGATTAATACGAGAGAGCTGAACAGAGCCAGATACTCGTTCCTAAACAAATGCACACATGAGAGATCATTAGAAGATACAAAGTTGTTTCAGGGGCTCCCTAATACTATGGATATGCAGCAGACTCACCAGAACAGCCTCCCAATGAAAGGAACCCTACCCATATTCCAAATTCCTTCGGAAACAAGACCAAACACCTTAGATACAAAAATTATACCGACATGGATAGATGATGAAGAGAAGGAATGGTTTGCTGTTGAAATTAAGGACATGCGACGTCATTTTAAGCCACAATCACATGCGAAAATCCTTGTCAAGGGAAAGTCGGAAAGTTCCTTATGTCATCCAGATTGGCCTGTCACACTAGACTGCTTATGAACTAGTGTAATAACCTTGAACCACCTCAAGTTCTTCCGCAAATACAGGAAGCGCTTGTTGAAGAAACAAGCCGATCATAAACTGTGCTAGAGGGAAAAGAAACGAAGAAACGAAGATAAAGTCACAATGCCCAGCTCTTGCCAAGATATCCGTATGAAGCCCCATCACCTCTGTTCCACCGCTGTGATTAAAACCCAATAGATGAGCCTAATTGCCTTCCTTCCTCTTTCTGTCCATCTACTAGCAAATTCCTAACCAAATCCTCTCTCACCCAGGCCTCGCATTGGCGCAATGTCTCCAGCAGTCCGATTGCATAATGGTCCAAGGCAAAACGCCTCACGAATGTCTCCAACCACCCTACCTTGAGAATCTTCCCGTGAAATGCCAGCAGCTGCGCAAAGGCCTTAGTGATTGCAAGTGAGCTTTGGAGCCTTCCGCACCCTCCAATCCAACACCCCCTTTCTTTACATCCTGCGTAGGCACATAAATGCTCTTGGCTAAAGGTCCATTTCTCAAATGTACGTAGACGAGGGATGGTAGACATGCGCAAACGGTTCCGCGGCAACCAGCCCATAGCCCTGGGTAGCGAGGTCGACCCAGCAACCGGCGAAGTTATCACTAAAACAAAGCCCGTCGGGCAGCTGTATGCGGGTAAGCCGGCCTTTCAAAGCGTCAAGGAGATTAGTGGCGATGAGGTGCAGATGGACCCAGAGAAGACAAGGGGATTGTGAGCGGTGCGGGATTGGATGGGGTGAAGTGATTTTCGCATCTCTTGGTTGAGGGAAAAGAACGGAGGAGCGCTATGAGAGACTGAAAGTGCTGGAAGGAGTATAACATATTTTACACAAGCGATGAGCATGGTATGGTCCTCATGCCTCATGCCTCAGGCAAACGGCGTTGTTATCTTCAGGATATATATCATTCAGGGATTGGCGTTTGGGGGATTTTTTTTGGGTTGATTGTGCAGCTGTTTGAAACCCTCAAGCAGTTGTAATGTATAGTACGTATGGACATTTTCGCCTCACACTATTGGCGGGGTTCTTTTTTTTTTTTTTTTTTTTTTTTGTAATCGAGTGTATATATAGATTATTGTGATAAGTTAAATGGTACGAGACGTTTCCCATGCAATCAAACCCCTTAATTTAATTTCGAAATAGAGATACCCCCATGATTGCTTGCATTTATGACATCAATGTATTTGGATTTTTGATGGGACCTGCGAATCTAAAAAGAAGACAAAAAACAGCCAAAGCAGAAAGGTATAAACTTTGAGTAATAAAATACGTCATAGGAAAGCAAACCGCGGGGATATCTTTTCAGCTTTTTTTGCTTCTCTTCCTCGTCGACTATCCCCTCATCGAGTCCAGATCAATAGAAGATATAGATAATAACCCGGAAAAATCTAGTACACATTGGAATGCAAATGCCAAAAAATACACCTTACACACACACAAAACACGTGCAATCACTGGACTTTTTTAGACCTGCTTTTCTCCGTTTCTGGAGGCGCCGAGTACAACCATACAGCGACGAAAATTAGGAAACCACCAATAACGGACCACAACCCCGCAATCCAGACCCAGCCGCCTGTGATCTTCCAACTACGGGGCCATTCGTCATGAGCGAAATGTCGAACAGTGACTTCCTCTTTCACATCAACGTTGGTGAGGAAAGGTCGTTTATAGTTGACACGGAAGGAGAAGATACCGTGCTGATCAGGTAAGGTGAATGAGGTGCTATACATGGTGCTATTTGCTGTCCTGGTTACTGGTTTGAGAGTCAGACGGTGGAAAGGCGATAGCATGGTAAATTCAAGTTGGACGGCATCTTCTTCAGGGGTTTCAAAAGGGATATAGTGGTCGTCGTTGTACTCGGAAAGCTCGATGTTAAATGTCTGACCAAGTATCGATATTAGCTTATATCACAAAGCAAAAAGTAGATGATATGAAAAACATACCACATCATTCTTTATCCGGTATATCGAAGGGTTTAATGCTCCAGATTCATTCGAAGGGGCAGATTCCGCATAGCCATCGGCATTCAAATAATGTTGCACTTTACCCACTTTAATCACGCCAGTCTCTTTAAAAGTCCAAGCACTAATTTGCTTTGCAAACTCCCTGTTTACCGTCTGCGTTTTCTTCCCATCCTTCAGGCCCTTAACGCTGGCCGAGAACCATTTGTCTTCAAGACTCTCCGCGGACCCTACTACTGTGAATCGGGCCGAATTCCTCGCCTGCATTGCTGAGACCAATGAAATCTGAGACCCAAACGCGAAAGACGCGTCTACCGTTTGCTCCTCCTCTGTCGCATCATAGCTATATGCAGTCTCAGGAGCTCGAAATATTGGAACTAGTAACGAACTGGCAGCCCCCAATGATTGGCCCGCAGCTTTGGGAAAAGCGACCACTCCTTCGCCAGAGAAATATGATTTGAGATCCGCACGGAGTGCTTGCGGTCGTGGAAGGAGAATAACATCGTGGTTTTCGGGAGAGGAGAGGGTGTCGTAGTTGAAGTGGTCGACAACAAGCGCATGGCGGTCTTGAGAGAGGCTGATCTCTAGCTCAAGTAGGAGGGAACTAACAGAGTTGGCGATCGCTGAACCACCTGAGAGAGCGAGGAGGACGTTTCCTTCACTGTTGATAAATTCAAGGAGCGTTTTGGGAGTTAATGCGGGCCCCAGTCCTACATGTGCAGTCGCTAGAGTTAATATGCGCCTCATCTGAAACCCCACCAAGCACAAGCACAACAGGAACCTTAACCTCGCTTCACTGACCTTTTGACTTTAGAGGGAAGAGGGCGATGTGGTCATATGCTCTCTCTCCATGTTTAAAGAGCGAAAGGCTTTGATCTTTGGGCGATTGGAATGATATGGAGTATCCCCGACCTATAGTATCTCCTGGTGAGCTTGTGGAATTCGAAAAATAGGACCAATTAGTCCAACCCCAGCCCTCATGCAATTTAATCTCACCTTCTAAATCCTTCCAGAACGTCGAAAACAAGTCCTTATCTGCAACGTCGTCTAGAATGGCTAGTAACCGGTTGCCAGCACTGCTGAGCGCATGGACAACAGCTCCCCAGAGCCCCACAAGAAGTATTGAAAGGAGCCACCGCATTGTCAAAATAGGGCCCGTCCGCACGGGGAGGCGGACAAAAGGAAAAAGAGAAGATTAATAGAGGAGGTGTTGGCGCGTATAGCTTGAACGCAAAGTGGACTACTCAACTCCTCATGACGATGTTTTGCTGATGTCGGCAATAAATAACTGGCAACGTGGTGTCCGAGAGACGCCAAGACTTCAAACCAGCTTGAACCTTCAACCACCACACTTCAGCCTAACCTTCTCATACTATCCCACTCGTCCTTATTGCTTCCTTTCCACAATTCCAACCTAGAGCTTATTCGTCCCTTGTCTCAAAATAAAATCCCCGTTGAACCTCTCCGGGGATCGCCGGCCATTGGCCCTCCAAGCTCGCCATCCACAATGTCCGCACCGCAATTCTGGTCGACGCCATTCCGATACATGCGATGGGCAGCGCATGAGAAACCTGCCATCTTCTTCAGCGTTGTCATCGGTTCACTAGGCCCCGTGGCTCTTGTGGCCCTACCGCCCATCCGACGGTATTTGGGCGACGTGGACCCCCCCCCGATTCCATTGACTTATCCAAGTACGTTTTTATCGCTATCCATGACCACCCACCTTGTTTTTTTTTTCTGTATTTGATACTGGGATTTCAATTGCCCTTCTTTTCCCCATTTTGCTGTCTCATTCCCTCTCTATATTTCCCTCTCTATTTCTTCTTATATCTAGGTTGAAAAGCGAGAAGTTTTCATGAGTTTTCCTTTTTCCGGCAAACCGAGATTTCTTGGGTTATATATATATATCACCTGCTGCTCTGAAACAAATGGCTAACTATACTTTCTTCCCTTTCTCGTTGCGGTCACTTTTCAGTTCCTCCCGGCCCAAGACGGATTCCGAAAGGCTATGACGATGAGTAACCAACTTCCCGAATTTGCATAAACAACAAGTTGAGGAACGGGGAATATATATATATATATATGCGCGCGCGCGCGCGTGTGTGTGTGTTAAGGGCAGTCAGTGTATGTCTCGAGGGGCTACTAGTTGGTAAGGGGAGCGGAGGGGGGCGGGAGGATCGCGGGCAGACGAAAAACAGCAACTTGTCACCACCTCCATTGACTCGATATCTGATGGTGCTTTAGGGTCAAAAACGAAAAAAAAACTCAACGTTGAAGCGGAAGGATAAGTGTTTGGGCAAGGGAATTTGGGAGTTGGTTGATTGTCAACTCAAGACACTGTAAATATAATATTTCTCGAAACCACAAAAAGAAAAAAAGAAATAAAACATTGTCAAATAAAAAATTACAACACTATTTCCAACTCCTCTTGTTGACCCTCCCTATCTCATGATGCAACATTTTTTCCGTTCTTCCCAGAATTGTCCGGACTCCGACGACATACGTACATGTAGTGCTTTGTTCGCCAAGGACAGGTTCTGTGGGATACATGTTAAAACTACCCAGCGTGGAAGCCAGAAATCCTGCATCTCACCACCGCTATCTTCCAATGCCCGCTATCTTCCAATGCTGGGAGCATCAGATCCCACTGTTGTCAGATGGTGACTGTGGGCGAAATAAGGGAAACAATTTGGAATCAACGCCCAAGGAAGACAAATAAAGGACTTGGATCGCATGAGGATGGTGTTGAGAACGTTACAGTGTCCCGTCTTAGGTGCATATAAAAAGCATCGCCTATATCGGTACAAGTTCGCATCGGGACCGCGTTAGTGGTATATGAACGAAGGGAGAGAGGTACCGTAGATACATACCCATAGATGGCGGATCAGGACGGTGCACGGTGCTTAAGCGGACAGCAAAGCCCGTCTTCATTGTTTATGCAACGAGGACGAAAGACGAATTGTCGGAAACCAGATGCAAAAAGTATGGCCTCATGAAATGAAGATAGCCTATATAAGACTGCCAACTTAAGCCCCCGTCCCATCAGCCTACGATATCATTGGAACTGTTTTCATGATTTTTTTTTTTTTTTTTTTTGCGAATGAACTCATCCCCTCAGTTGAAATTCCATTGGTGTGTGTACCTCCTCTACAATGAGATAAGATAGATAGATAGCTGTGATCAAGGTTATGTTATGGCAAATTGGATATAGATGGGGAACAACAGGCTGACACTACAAGCGCCCTGCCAGCAACAATGTTGCCTCCAAAACCACAACACCCGAAAAAAAAGTGCTCACAAATCCATGGAGATTTAGTAAGAAGAAGGGAATCATGACTTTGTAATTATGATGGCCAATCTGGGACTTGACGCAAAGCAAAACGCCTCTCCGATGCAACTATCTACATGGGACCGACCGTGGAAATCAATTACCACACACCACCACGCCTTTTATTGGAGAAACAAAAGATTTGATAAGACAGGAAGAGTAAATTCAACCAAAAAAAAAAAAAAAACGCTCCTGGTTCGATGCAAAATCCTAAATAGGCACCTGACGATTTCCAAGATAGTTGTAAGAGGTAAGAGGCATTTTTTGTGACAAAGGAGGAGAGGACTCAAGTGGTATCGGTATCATCACCGTAAGAAATATGACAAAAGGCCTGCATCATATGTTGGTGGAGAAGTTCAATGCAGAATTTGGAAGGTGCCAAGCCAGAATCATAACAATGAGAGGCAACAGGTATTTAAAATATGATTCAATGGCAAAGCAACCTTTTCCTCAGCATAAAACCAGCGTAAATAAACAACAAAAACGAATCGCGTTTCCATTTGTTAAGCTCGTGAGTTTGGTCCAGGTATGCATGTATGATCCGGGCCGATGGCTGATAGCAAAGCAAGGTAAGGAAAAAGAAAGTCAAAAATAAACAAAAAAAAATGTTAACTGCCTTGCGCATAGAGTGCCCATGACTGGCAAATTCCAAGAGATCGACAGACATACAAAGCAATGCGGGTTGCATTGAAGCCCATAATTTCCCGCGATTCCATGGAATTGGCTCCATCCTCGGCATATAAGTGGACATTTGTTTGCTCCCATACGGGTATCTTAAGGCATTTGAAGAGTCTAGCTAGCAAAATGCAAAGCCAAAGTGGGCGTCATTATTAGGTGGAAGTAGTCAGAAAAAAAGGTTCCCCATCGTCGGTCAATGTAAATATTGGCGCCATGGAATTGAATTGTGATCTTGCTGGCTTTCTTTCCGTCACTAAAGGTGAAAAATGCAAATAATCCCAGATTTACTGACAAAAATAGAGTTATCACTGGAACTTAAAATCAACGAGTCCTTCGGTCCCTAGCTGGTGGTGGTCCTGAGGAGCGGTAGGATGAATCCGGGGGGTATCGTCCATCTACCATTGGAGCCCGGTGGTCAGGGATTGTGGTGGGAGGATAACCTATACTAGAGGTAACGGCGGGGGGATACTCGCTCTCATTCTCGTAGCTAGGTCCTGGATACCTTGGGTTTGCTCTTGGGTCATTATTATATGGAGGATACTGAGTAGTACCCTCATATGTATATTCAGGGCTGCTCACTGGTGGTGGCTGTGAGTGAGCCGGGTATGGCCCGCCAGCAGGAGCGTATGTAGAAGGAATTGTTCCATAAGTTGTTGGCTGGGAATATGCTGGCGGATAAGGTGGAGGTTGAGATGAGCTATATGGAGGATGCGCTGCTGGCGGATAGGTATCATATGGCTGGCCAGCAGCTGGGGGATAAGTCGTAGGTCCTGTTTGTTGCCGGCTTTCATGGGTAGCAGAGGTATCGTATGGTGCTGAATTCCTGTTAGGGTCTGGAGATATCCTTGGGTCATGATTGTGGCTACCTTGTACAGGATACCCTTGATCTCTTCTCATCGCTATTTCAATTTCCCACCGCGCCGAATCTGCTTTCAGATCGGCAATCATCTCCTGTCAACCAAACAAAAATGGTTAGCTCCAACGCCGTTAGAAGGAACACTCCTGCCTAGCTGCAGTCCCGCAGCACGAAGTTACGTGTGAATGCACTGGGCATTTTGGGAACTTGGTGAGCGAAGGTGATACATACTGGTGTCAAATTGCGATAAGCACGAATGTAGTAACCCTGACGGCCCTATACGATCTAGTTAGCATAAAAATACTGACCAAAGGCTCTATCTCATCCGCAATCGCGGACAAATAAATCGAGAGCATTTCTAGGAGAGACAAAAAAAAAGGAATTCGGACCTGATGGACGCCAGGCTTCACAAGAGCCCGATTTCCAAGATAGCGACAGATATCAGCCTGAATAACCTCGCGAGCAATGCCATTCTTTTCAATAAAATATTCGTTTTGCCGCTCCGGGGGATCATGAGGGCGCGACATGTTGGCTAGAGTTCACGGCAGGAAAGATGAAAGAAAACAAATAGGCTACCACTGGGCGATGGCTGAGAATATTAAAGAGAAGGCGGTAACAAGTCGATGATGATTATGCGATGAGAGAAGAGGTTGATATTGACCGATTAAAGAAAAATAAGAAGGAATACAGCTTTTGAAAAACTGTGATAATCCGTGATCCGTAGACTGGGCTAGATTACCTTTGTTGAGGCAAGCAAAGGTCCTTATCCTGGAAGGGAGTGGTCCCGGGTAGACGAACTGACACACGCACACAACAAGCAGAGATAGACACAAGTATTATTATTATTATCCAAGTGTAGGTGCAGACACAACACCCTTTTTTTTTAACCTTTATATTTATTTTGTTTATCAGTGCCAAGGCACACTCTTCAAAAATCGTTAATTGACGGAACCAGGCCAACCAAGTACGGGACAAACTATCCAGGAAGGGTAAACACGTAGGAATTCCAGGGTATAACAAATCCAAGGGGAAGGTCCGGTGAACCTCAGTATAAACCTCAAGGACAGGGCGTTTGATAACAAGGAGGACACCTGACGGGATGCTGGGAGTATTATTCAGGAGGCTATCGTGATCAACACAGCAGGCAGAGAGGGTCCTAAAGGGAAATATTCTGGCCTTAAAAAAGAGACAGGAGCAGAACAGAGAGCAATATGGCAGCACAGCAGCAGCAGCAGGAGCAGCAATAATATATGTCGGATGCCGGGAAGATACAGGAATATATAAATATATATGAGAGAATGAGAGAACAAGAGAGGATAACACAACGGTCAAGCCCCCAGCCGATCGAGTTGGGAACGGACAGACGAGGCGAGTATGGAAGAGCCAGAAACTCCCACTTGAGGCGCTTGTGAGCGCTGCTTGATGGGAATCGAGAAGACGACGAGACAAACAGATGGACCGCGAGGAGGGAGGGAGTGAGAGAAGGAGAGAGCAGAGGGAGCGGAGGAAAAGAAAGAAAACAGCGAGAGAGGCAGAAGGAAGAGGAGGGGGACGGATGGCGACGAAAAGGGCCGTGGGGCAGCCCTGGGCCAATCCAATCAGCGGCTGCTGCCGGCCCTGACCCACTCCACCGCCTTGTTTGGTGCCACGAACGACGTCCAGCTGCGTATTCTCGTTACTCGTTACGCGCTGTATTCTCTGCTCCTGGCCTATGATTACCGACGGGCTGCTGGTTTTGCACGGCGTATTCTCAGTCCCTGGCCTGCTGCACATGTATCTTCCCGGTTCCCCTAGGTGCGGACAGGACATGTACTGTACGCAGCAAGTCAAGCTGCTGTTGATGGGCGGGCATTGTGCATGCTTACCATCGCTCCTTGGCTGCCCATGGCCATCCACCATGAACTCCCGCTGCCTGGTATCCCAATATCATCATTACTGGAGGAAGTAGTTGACAAAACTTAACCTTCCTGTCATTTACTTTGCATTACACATCTTAGCTACGTTGAAAGATAAAAGCTTGCCTTTCTTCAATGCCGTCGGCTTCTCACCTTATCGGGTAGCTATACGTCGCATCTCTCGACTTGCACTGGACAGGCGGCATCCAAACGGGCGGCGACGATGAATGCAGGCCAAACAATACTGTGGAGACATTGCCTGCTTCAACGTATCTGCTCACCCCGATCAATCGACTGGCATATGTCCCATATCTATGATCAGGGCTGGTTTTTTTGATTTGCACTCCCCTTCAGCCTGCTCCAGGCATAGTGTCGTAAGCAGTCCTCATCCACTCAAAAATTATCAAACCGATCATACCACATCCCATCCCATGGAAATCGGAACACTTAAAATGGAAATGCCAAGTCCCCTGCCAGCTACACAGGGATGAGGGAAGAGAGAGGAACGAAAAGTTAACGAAAGCACACAACCTGGAACAAAAGCTGTCCCGGCAATCAGGGTTTGGTCGGGACCCAGAGCCGAGTTAAGAATTCATCATTGAAATCATCTTCTCGGGAGAGGCAAAAAGCGAGGGAATGGCCATTACTGCCATCACAGATGCTGATTGGTGAAGATGTTGGTTGTCGTTGGGCAGACATGCGTGGCTTTGGGCACACACGCCTCCAGCAACCCAACATTAACAGACATCCTTGGCACCCGTCCACATTCTTTTGGCAGTCCTGACGCCGGCAAGGCACACAACACAAGTCATGCATCTATTGACCTCGTTCGTGGCAACTAACTGAAACCTGTCGACCGTCTGTTTCCAGGGCCTCGACCAGATTCTGTCTTCTGCTGTTCCTTACCGCTCTTGCCACCAGTCCGCCAGTGGAAGGAAATAATTGAAAAACTTAAAATTAAAAAATTAATCAATTTAAAAAAAGAAAGAAAAAAAGGGGGGGGCATGTACAACATATTTCTATCCTTCAAAGATGAAGACTTTGAACTGGGCCCGCTCTAAAATGGAAAGGCACAGTGTACATATCCCGTCTGTCACCATTCCAACCGTACCAGCCTGATGAATGGTTTATTCCAGGATGTATCCTTCAAGGGGGGATGCGATCCAGGCGCGAGGGATATGTTAACAACATACATACCTCCATTGCTCGTTCCTCCAGATGAAGGGTATGAAGAGCCTCTAGGGCCTGTTTTTGCCCTTTCTCATTTCTTGTGACCAAGCGTCTCGTCAACAATCTACCACTTCCTATCAGAGGGTATCATCAATCCCTTTTTGTGCATCCGGGATTGTACGAATGAATGGAGAGCGCCTGTCGTGAACCGCTGGGTCCTGCCTATCGTTTTGATAGCCCAGCCAATTGCCCATGGAGCTCATTGGGACCTCCTCTTTTTCATGATTATTTGTTTTATTTACACTTGGTTCCCCGGTCGAATAGGGAGAATACATGTGTATCCACTGCCGCACTCTTTTCCTGGGATTTCGGTTTCCGGAACTTCATTTGATGTGGAGTGTTGACTGATGTCTCTTATGTGGGAGTCAATATTGGGATTTCACTATTCACCCCGACTTAAATAACATCCAAAAAGAAAAGAAGAGAAAAAGAAAAGAAAAGGAAAAGGAAAAGGAAAGAAAAGAAAAGAAAAGAAGAAAAGAGAGAGAAAGAGAGAGAGAGAGAGAAGAAAAGAAAGGACTACTCCGTAGACACCGACGCGGTCAATCAAGCCATCCCAGTCAAATTATACCGGAATTCTCACTCATTCATGCTGTGCCCTTCCCGGACAGAGGTTTGGAAGTTCTCCATATTTTCCGTTTGAGAATACTTCCAAACCGAACTACCTTTTCTTCTTCGTGTTCATTTTCCCTTGCCGTTTTTTTCACTTCTTCTGCTTCCATCTTCTCATAGTCTTGTTTCAAAACAATTCGAAAGTTGGTTCGTGGAAAATGAATTCGAACCTCGGTCCGGCCGTCCAAGGTCTTCCGCTGCAGGACTACCTCCTGAGTCGTGAGCGCCACTAATTCACCGCTATCTTTATAGTTATAGCAATTATCAGTGGGCCACACCACAACATCTTGCCCCTTTTGGAACTTCAGCGCATCATATTTATCAACAATCGCTTCCGGTTCCACAAAATCTGCAGCGATCACAGATTCCAACACCTGTTCACCCGAAAGGGTTTGCGGCTTGTTGGTTAGTGCAGATGCAGCTTCCGCCGCTGTCTTCCTGAATCGAGCCATCCAAGCGAAAACCTTGGGAAAGCGGGCTTCTGTGAAAATATCGCGGTCAAGTGCACCATCTAGCCCATCAACCCAGTCGAGAGCCCAAACAGCTTCAGAGGGTCACGCAGAATCTACTGTCAGCTACCCAATTCTTGTGACATGCATGCCTAAGGGATTCTCGTAAAGGGGTGAGGATGCTTGTGGTTTTCCGTTCTGTATTTAATGGCATATTCGGCTTGCGATATTATTTGTTTTTGGACGTACCATGAATATCAGCCAGCGAAGGTTTCTCTGTCTTACGCAACCACTCTCTCCCATCGGCCAGTAGCGTCGTCTCGAGAAATTCAAAAGCCTGCTTGATATGAGCCATCCCATCCGGACGATTCTTTTCAAGATCCGCCTTCCTGAAGCTCAGGCCACTAGCGTCCTCCCGATCCCGAATGAAGTTGGGATGGGCAGCCAGTATCACGGCCGGTGGGACTAACTGGCAGGCGCGGGCGAAAACACCTCCGTCAATGGTCCAGTTCTCCAGCATCCGTTCGATAGCCTGTCCGTCCGGATCAGCCGCACCGAGCCTCTCACCCTCTGGATACAGCTCCTCCAGTTTCCGTAGGATCAGTCGTGAGTCGCAGTATATGTCTTTACCGACGCACATAACCGGGACACGGCGATATTGGACGCCTAGTGCATGGAGGTCCGGTCTGGGCATGATGATCGGTTGTAACTTCGCGCCGCGAAAGAAAAAAAAACGGCCCAATACAAATATTAGCAAAAGAACTGCTGTTATTTTTCGTTCCCCTCTCCCTGTTTTCTTTTACTTTTCTTTCAGGGGGGTTCCTGGCGGGAGCATGCGCACCACGATCTTCCTCTCTCCTCTCTCCTCGCCAACATTATTTTCGTCCTTGTTCAGAGAAAAGTGTGCTTACACATTGATCATATTCAATACCTCGGAGCGCAAGATACCTTCACCCGAAGCAAAATGCAAGACGCAGAAGAAGGAGAGCAGAATCAGCAAAATGTTCACAAAACATGGGAGTAGATATATGCGTATATGTAGACAATCACGACGCCAACAACTTCAATTTTCATACAGGATGGGGAATTATGCGAACGGGCTATCTGGTCGACACTTTGGGGCGGACCCTCACTTACCACGTTACCCGTCTTCCATACGGCGAGATCTCGTAGTGGAACACCACTGGTTTCGGTATTGCCATCCTTGTTATTTTTCCGCGTTTTTCAAAATAAAATTATCAGTTCTTTTCCCTGTATCGATCGCTTGTTCAGAGGGTTATTGGCACTTTTTTATTCTGTGCTCTCAAGGATTGGATACCCTTTCCTGCTCTTGGAATTTGACTCCTTCTTCTTCTTCTTTTCGGACTTAGGGTTATCTATACCTACCCTTTGTGACCCTGTGGGTAATTCTCGTTTATCGCGGTTCGAAGAATCAGGCAAATTTGTGTAATTCGACTCACGAGTTGGGACTACTCGACGGGAAACGTGGCTAGAGGATTTCTTTCGTAAGTCCTGGGGGAAGATGTCTGCAAGGTAAGCACCAGGACAACCACACCCTTGTCTAGTACATCCAACATCAAAGAAAAGGTATTGGAAAACGAAGTGCCTATTCCTTTGAAATTAGTCTCAGTTTTCTCTCAGGACCTTACAAAGCTTCTAGAAGAAACCAGGACTCACATAAAAGGGGTCCTCTTTGCATCTATATATATACAACTGATTTTCTCCTCATTCCCCTCTTTGCCTCTCTCCTCATCCCTTTCCTCTGGTCTCGAAAGGGAATTTTATTTTTCCTGCAAAGCCAAGGCCCAAAACTACTATTCCATGATGCATGCCCAGATCAACGGACAGACAGTCATTAGATATGAAGTTAAAAAATAAAGCAAGACGTCAAACTCTTGTGAAACACAAAAGCTAAATTGGAAATGCCATGAGACAAAGAAAATGGGAATCCAGGAAATTTGAACCCCGATAGCTCAGAGCCCGAGGCTTGTATCTCGAGGGCCACGTTGAGACCAGCGGGGCAATTAATTTAGCCTGCCTGGTAACATAGTCCAACCACTGGGTCTAGGGAGATAGATGCATGTCGGTAGACCCTTTCGGGTCAGGTTTGAAATTTCTGAGCAGGAGGGCTCACTGTGAGTGTAAGTAAAATTTCCAGCTGGAAAACCATTTGATCTGGTTCAAACTCTCAATCAATAACAGCATTCAAAGTCCTAAAATTGGGGCGTGCAATTTTGAGTTATATTCAACCTTATTTAGGGTATCTTTGGATAACACCGAGATCAATGACATGGTGAATGGGAGGCCAGAAACGGCCGCCCTTGACGCCGTTTTAAGTCACCGTGGGAGGTCTTGGCGTCACGTGTGCTAAAGCCCATTGATCGAACGAACGTCCATAGCCGCCACAGGACTGAGCAATTCCAATGACAAAGATCAACCTGCCGTTTCTTCGATAAATACTGACACTCCGTCCATATTGCTTTTCTTTTTTCTCTCCTGGCCTAGGCTAGCTACCCAGCGCAAATTTCATCGGAAACAAACTGATCATCCCCACTTGTTGAGGTATTTCTCATATCTCTTCATCACAAAAAGGTATCGCATATTCTGCTCAACATCACTCATCTCTCTGCCCTATCCTAGTCGATGTGTATCACATCAACTAGATTTAGCGCCGTCCTGCTAGCACTAATTGCTAACACCAATAATAAACAGACCCGTTAATAAAACGGCGGTTGCAGTGGAGAGAACCATATCCAATGCCCTCTCTTTCAATGAAATCAAGTCCTTCGAAGAACAGGAGAAGGAGGTGGACAAGGCGGCCTTAAAAGCGATCGCGGACATATTTGTCAGGCATAGCATGCATACCAAGCTAGGAGCCGGGCTGCTCCATCGTCACGACGCTCTCGAAGACGGAACTGTGATGTTTCACAAGCTTCAATCGCGCGAATCTGATTATCTACGTCCTCAAGGCGCTTTCGAGCATTGACATGGACAAGATTACGCCCAACTCGTGGTTCCTCAATCAAAATGGACTGTTCCAGGCATTTGAGTATGATGCCAGTGACGAGGCAACTCAGCCCGATCCAGCTTTCGCTTTCGACCACGCTGAGTTTTTCGAAGCTCACGGTTTAGAGAAATGAATTTCAATCATTCCGAACCCTTCCGACAGAGAAGATTTCATCGATTTCACGCATCTTAGTGGGCGTGGCACCATCAGTGTTTCTCTTCGCCTCATCTCCGAACAAAATATTGAGACGAGTGAACCTGTCATCACCGGACGGAGCTTCCATGTCAATGAAATGGGGGTTGTTGAGTGCAAAGGGAATAATGTCTGTAGACCTATGAACTCTGGCAATCACAAAGTGCTTCAGGACTCAAAGCCCTATACAGAGCATGTAAGCAAGGTTATGCCGCTGGTAGATGTTGCCGAAGAAGAGTCTTAGTTTTGCAAATCCTTGGGAATATCCTCTACTCTTAACACCCCTCGCTTGTTTGGTTACATCTTTGCGGGGATGCTCCCTGAGCTATCTGCAGAAGTAGAAAATTAAGCACATACTATCACATCGAAACCTCAGTAACTAGATTTTGTGCAAGATCGGCGCGGGCATTCCTTGTTACTTTTCTGAATGGCTCTTGATACTGTAAACTTTCGGATAAGCATACTCTGAAGCTTCAACGCACCAAGGTCCCGTCAAGGACTGATCTAATACGACAACAAGAATCCATTCATGAAAGATAAACTTCGAAGATATCCATCTAGATAGTGCTCAGCTCGTTCGTCTTTGAACATGAGAAGTCGCTCCACACCATACAATAACATTCCAATCGCCTTTTGCGACTCCAGTTGCTCTTTTTTTATTTCTTCAAATCCCTGCGCAGCAAGATTAGCCAGAACCCGATCATAAAACGCTGTCTCTAGTTCCTGACGGTCTTCTGTGTCTTGCCAACCTCTTGGGGTCATAAACCCGAAAAGGCTATCCATAAAATGGAAATTCGACCCAGCTGGGAGGTAAAGAGAACCATTCCAGTCTAGTACAGCCTGCACCCGACCCGTAGAATCGTCGATAAGGCAATTGAATGGGGCGAGATCCTGGTGGGTAAGGGTGACGGGGAGGGTAGTAAGATTGGGTAGCTGTAGTAAGAGCTTGCTGATGCAAGCAAAAATTTTGTTTCTGAGGGTTGTATGTCGAAAAATGTAATTACTGACCGTATGTTGGATTCTCTCAAGGGTAGAAGCGAGGTCGGATAGAGCAGTGTCAGATAGGGCAGTGTTCGTTCTGGCTCCTCGAGTGACGAGATCTGCAAGGTCCATGGCAGTCGTCATCTTCTTCTGAAGAGGTAGTTGGAAATCCTCGGAAGTCATCAAAACACTGATATAAGGTGTCCCTTCTACAAAAGGTGATGTATACACAAAGAGCCCTTCATACATGCCCTGGTATGTTACCAGAGGTACAATAGGTCCATGAATGTGGCTAGCTTCGGTGACTCCGAAAAGGTCTTGCTTGTCGCTTCGGAACTGGACGACAATGCGATGATTTGAGTCTGTGAAATGAGTATGTAAAATAATGGTATAGCTCATGCTTCCCTGGAAAGGGCTGGGTTGGATATCTACGTTGCCAGTAGTGGTAGGATGGAGAATTGGGGCAATGTGGTGCAAGGCGAACTAGTGACACGATTCCTGGGAGAGATTTGGCAGAGATTCGAAGAATTGAGCCACGACAAGGCTCTGGTAATCATCCATTTTAAGAGCCCACTATGAATGGCATTCACCCGCTCTACCAGACATGAAGTGAAGAGACTGAGTTTGCTGTGGATGCGGCTATACTGTCCCTTTGTAAAGACAGAAATGACATGCTAAACGCACCCTAACAGGCAGGGGAGTGGCTCAATATTCACAACAATTATATTTCCTAAATAGCCTTCTTAAGCGCCGTGCTCTAGTAAACCCGTATGGCCCAGTTCTGGAAACAAAAGAGTCTTCTTCCACAGACTATGGCCAGACTTCCTCATGCAAGGGGCATGTTCTTAATTCGAAAGGCAGTAGCACTCCGAGGGAGGTCTATCTAGAAATTATACAATGATGATGATACTTGCCGTTGATTGAAACATGATCGGTCGTGGTTGCGGAATATATTATTCGAGCCGTCTATTCAGGGTAAAGCTTCCAGCATTCACAGCTTCAGGATTGGTCCGTCCCCGTGGTGATCAAGGTTCTGTGGGATGGTTGATCTTGTTATTGTTGTGGTCGCTAGCTAACTATATAGGGGTAATCACATGCAGTGGAGGGCCACCTGGGCAACTAGTGCCCAACACCCCCCCACACATCAATGTGTGTGATGTGTTTCTATAAATATTTCATGCTAGCTATCTTAATCTAGATTATCTCAAAAATATATTACATACAGAAATTTAATCATTCTTACTGCTGTCAGTGAAAAATTCTAGTAATTTAATAAAACATCTAAATATCACTATACTCAGAGATTTAATTAATTCATCTGCTATCATATTCTCAGTGGAAATATAATTAATTGAAATAATATCTTTATTTAATTATATGTGAGAATAGTGAAAGTGAGTATTAATATATTTACTGTATATTATAATTATAGTAATAGTAGCTAGATCAATTAAAATTTTATTATTTATTCTGATAAACAAAAAATTCTTTGCTGTAATAAATTCTAGTTTCATTATTATATTATATAATTATATTACTTTATATACTACTTTATTGAGTATCATATATTCTGTTTTATTTAAATTTAAAGAAATACAAAATTGTTTGAATAAATATTATGAAATTAATATATCTATTAATTTAAATATAAAATTTAAAATAAATTTATATTTATTATTCAATAGTTCTGTTTAATCTGAATTCATATAATCTATCAGTAAATATAATATATTGAAGAATTTATCAATTTTATTTTTAAAATCTTTATATAAAATATCTAAATTACTTATTTCTTTTAGATATTGTATAATATAGAGAAGAATTTTTTATATTTTAGATATAGATACAGTATTCTTCTGTATTAGTAGAGATGTTATTTGTATAATATCTGAGTATAATTTAACTGTTAGATACTGTAAGTACTTTATTTTATATTAATATTATTTTTTGATAAATTCTTCTTTTTATTCTGATACAGAGATATCATCTATTTTCATTCTCTCAAATATTAATATAGAAACAGAGATAATGTTATTTAGACAGAAATTTTGTACTAAATAATCAATATAATATCTCAATATTAATTTTATAGCATTATCAGAGCAATATTTAATCTTCATATTCAAATATTTTAAAGATTTTTTTAAATCTTTTATTTCTAATTTATTAATAAAAATATCAATTAATTAATCAGTATCTACTGAATCTTCTGCTATAATATAAAGATTATTTATATAGATTATTATATAAAAATGATTGCAGAATATATAATATTATAAAACAGAGTTATAAAAGCTAGATTTGAAGTCATTTTTATAGAGTAATATTATAAGAAAATTATATTAAATCTTAGCAGCAGAATTCAATTTATATAGAAAGTCTATAATAGTATAAATTATTGTATATAAAGTTTTTATTTTAAATTCAATAGATTATTATATATAAATTATTTTATCAAGTCAGTTATACAGATAGATTATAACTATATTAATCTGATATAAAATTTAATCTCACTTTACTATTATTATAAATATTATATAATTAATAGTATTATTAATAACAGATGTATATATTTCTTTATATATATTTTTTTTTAATCAATTGTTATATACTATTCATCAAGATTTTTATAATATACTATCAGAATCTATATTAAAGTTTTGAGAATAATTTTTTTCAATATAAATTCAGCAGTCAGAGACTACTGACTCATCAGAAAAGATATTAAAATATAAGATTATTATTTAAATATTTCTTTATTTCAAATTTACAATCTTATATTTCATCAACTTTTATTAATATTCATCAACTTTTTTAGATCTATTAATAGTATTTTTATATTCTTTTAGAATAGAATTAGTAAAAGAAGAAGAAATATAGATAATAAATACTTTTACTAATCTTATTTATTCAGCATCAGCTAATTCAGAAATAACAGTATTATTAATAAAATAAATCACTAAATTTACAGCTTTAAATATTATATAATTAGTATCAATCTACAGAGTTATAGATTTCTTTACAGAGAAAATAATATCACTGATAATAATTATTTTATCAGTTGTAGAACTTCAGAAATAGTGAATTGAGTTATTATAGAATTCTATAAATTTAAATATTTTTATTCTGACAGACAGTTTATCAGTAGATTTTTGAGATTTATAAAAATATATATAAATATTAATATCTAACTCTCTAAAATAATAAAATTAAGACAGAGTATTGATTAGTACTGAAAATGAAATAGTATAAAGATATTATACAGATACTTCATCAGTATTATTAATAGATTAGTATTTTTTATTATACAGAGTAATAAATATCAGTATATTATTGATAATTACAACTACTATTTTAAGAACATCTGCTCAGAACTTCTTTAGTATATTTATATCTATAACTACTGCTCTAATACACATCATTATTATATAAATTCCTCTCTCAGAAACATTATCTTGATAAGAAAATTGAGATATAATAGATTTTCAGACAATATTATTTTTAATTATCATTGTTATTATCTTATTTAATCAAAAAATATTATCAATATTAATTCTAACTAGCATCAGTAATGTGAAGCTGAGATTTTTCATAAATTGAACTCAATGAGTATAGATTTCAACAGTTAATTCT